ACCCTAGTTGAGTGTAGCTTTGTGCGTAGCACTCGTTCTAAAGGGCAGAGTAACAAGGGGAGCTTGTGAAAACCCTGTGAGAGCGTAGCTTTGTGCGTAGTTATCGTGGTGTAGGAGTACAGCTTGGTGCGAAGTACTCGGGAAGGCGGAGTAACAAGAGGAGCTTGCGAAAAACCTTGGAGGAGTGTAGCTTTGTGCGAAGCACTCGGAGAAGTGTCGGTGGACACTTATTCAATATTGTATCTGGGTGATTGAAGAATAGTGAATTTTCTCCTTGGAGTGAAAGGAGAAGAGTGGACTAGGAGGATTACACCACCTCTGAACCACTATAAATCTCTCTCTCTATTTACTTACTGCTCATATATTTTGTGCATGCTTATTCAAACTGCGAACTAACCCGATTACGATTTATCGCATATCTTTATCTGTCTGGGTTTAATAGTTCCCACGTTTACATGCAAGACAAACTTTACGTACATCATCTTTGAACCATATCAAGTGTTTCTAACGTGTTGCATGTTTAGAATCTCTCTTTGAGCACCACACTATTTAAGCATAACACTTTACCGTTATATATTCCGTTGTGCACTCTAAGTTGTTTATCTTGTTGATGCTTGTTACTTAGAGTTGAAATTACCAAAGTGTTATTTGCCTTGTGTGTTTTGCAAAAGAAAGTTTTGAAAAGTTAGAGAAGTCTATTCACCCCCCCCCCTCTAGACTTCTCGCCACCCTTTCGGGACCAACAAGTGGTATCAGAGCGGTTGTCTATTTGAGTCAATTTTGACTGCTAGATAGATCTCAAAATCTTCAAGATGAAGAGAGATATGGTTCTCGCTCAAAATCTGCTTTTCTCACTTAACAAATTTGATGATTGGAAAATTCGAATGCAGGTGCACTTATCTGCTCTAAGTGACGAAATGTGGGAAGTCATCACAAATGGTCCTATCCAAATTATGGAAGTTAACACCGCCGCCACACTAACTCCAAATGCTCCGAAATATGTTCCAAAGCCAAAAATGGAGTGGACAAGTGATGATAGAGGACGAAATAATTTGGACAACATTACCAAAGATATTTTTTTTCAAGGCCGTAGATGATACCATATTCCCAAAGGTTCGAAAGTGCACCACAGCAAAAGAAATATGGGATACACTTATCAGTATCGGTGATGGCGATGAACAAGAAAAGGATAACAAACTAACCATTGCCATGAAGAGGTTCGAAGATTTCAAAATGCTACTTACTTAGAGTTGAAATTACCAAAGTGTTATTTGCGTTGTGTGTTTTGCAAAAAAAAGTTTTGAAAAGTTAGAGAAGTCTATTCACCCCCCGCCCTCTAGACTTCTCGCCACCCTTTCGGGACCAACAATATACAACCATTTCCTTTAAGACAACAGCCAGCCCAAAGCTCTAGCTTAGGTATGAATCTAGAAGATATTGTTAAATCTCTTGCTACTAACAATTTGCAGTTTCAACAAGAAACACAACTATTCCAATAAGAGACAAGAGCTAGTATTCAATAGACAAGAGCTAGTATTTAAGAAACAAATGCTAGTATTCAAAACTTGGAAAGACAAATGGGCCAACTAGCAACTACGGTAAGTCGGTTGGAAGCACAGAGTTATGGCAAATTACCCTCTCAAACGGTTGTTAATCCCAAAGAGAATGTAAGTGCAATTACTGTGAGAAGTATGTCGCTGGAAAAGAATGTTGATTTAGACAAGGAAATAAGTACAGGTAACATTGCCAAAAATAAAGAGAAATCCCAAGGTAAGCTTTCTTCTTTTCCTGATTATGAACCAGTACCCCCATTTCCTCAAACTCTTTTAGAACCAATAAGAGGAAAATCAAATAATGATCTTTATGAGACATTTCGTGAATGTGAGGCTAATAAACCATTTTTAGATTCTATGGAAAAAGTACCTCGCTATGCAAATTTTCTAAAAGAGGTATGCACTATGAAAAGGAAACAAAATAATGAAAGAATTGAGGACGTGAAAGTGCAAGAGAATGTCTCTACGGCTAGTCAAGGCAATCTTCCTGAAAAGTGCAAAGATCCAGGTATGTTTACTATTCCATGCATGATAAGTGGGGTGAAATTTGAAAATGCTATGTTAGATTTGGGAGCTTCTATTAATGTCATGCCATATTCTGTTTATAATTCTTTAAATCTTGGACCCCTGAATACATCTAGTATAGTAATTCAATTGGCTGATGGATCTACTACATATCCTAGGGGTGTGGTTGAGGATTTGCTTGTTAAAGTTAATAACATGGTTTTTCCTGTTGATTTTTATGTGCTTGATATGGAAAATAATAATAAAATTTCTCATATTTTGTCAGGAAGACCATTCTTAAAAACTGCAAAAACGAAAATTGATATTCATAGTGGTATGCTTACTATGGAGTCTAATGGTAAACTTGTGACTTTTAATATTTATGATACCATGAAATCACCTAGTGATGATAATTTTGCAATTTTTATTGATTCTTTGAAATTTTTTAAATTTGATGAAATTGCATCTAATGAAAACAAAGAAGAAAAAAATAATAAATCATCTTTGAGTACTAATCTGCATGAAGGGACTGCTTCTTTGAATACTCATAATCATCGAAGGTACTCAAAAAGACGATGGAAATTTAAAGAAATATCATAAGTCGAGCCTACGACGATAAACAAAGGCGCTGCTTGGGAGGCAACCTAAGGTGTGTTTGTTTCATTCTTTTTCTTTTATTCCCTTTTCTCATTCAATAACCCTTTTTCTGTGTTTTTTTTATTCAACATTGGGGACAATGTTGATAATAAGTGTGAGGGAGGGGATTTGTTTTATTACTTGTTGATTATGTCAAAATTTTCAAAAAAAAAAAAAATTCAATAAATATTTTACTAGTATTTTACGCAAAATAAGTATTATTTTGAAAAATTTATCATATTTTCCTTTTGAAATTCATAACATGATTGAATAAATAGTTTGGAAAGTTGTGATTGTTTGTTAGCATCTCATGTTTGATATGTAGTGGCTATATTAAGTAAGCAATAAACCCGTGAGTTTTTGAGCCACTGACTGACACTTCGGTCTTATTTTCTTTCTATTGTGTGATTTCTTCCATAATTTTGTTTCTCTAGAACTTGCCTTGATTCTCTTTTAAAGCTAATTTGACCATGCATAATTCAAGTGTGATTAAGGCCATTATTTGATCTTGAGCCTCACTAGCCAAATAACCGGTTTGTCCTATGACTTATTTTCCTTTGCTAACCACTTTGAGCTTTATGGCCATTCTTTTCTTTGTCTTGAACCACATTACAAGCCTTTTATATCTAAAAATAATGCCTTCACCCAGCTGAATAACTAGTGGGGCAAATTTTGGATTATTCTTGTAATTTGCGTGAGTTTGTGAAGAATAAGTGTGGACGAGACCATTTGTTTTGAGAGCGAGGCGGGTTGTATCTTTATTGCCAATTTGTCGTTGGTCTTCTAAGAAAAAATGAAAGCAGTTCATCATTTAAAAAAAAAGTATGGAAATTTGAAAGAATGAAATGGAAAAATGGAGAATATATCTTTTAAAAAAAAGATATTGCTGAAAATTTATGAGAAAATGAGAAAGAATCAGCAATTGATTTTGAGTTGAAGTTACTTCTAAATAAATGAAATAAGGGGAAATTCTGGTAATACTGAGGAAGCATTATGTACTTTTGAGAATGATAGTCATGTTGGAGCCTCAATAGTATGTGTTTTTGAATGGAAATTGAGGGTGTTGGATTATTTGTATTTATTTGCTCATCTAGTTTGAAGCTTTTGCTTAAGTTACTTTCCTAAAAAATTCTCTACCTTAACCCTAGCCCCATTACAACCTGTGAAAAGCCATTATGATTTGTGTCATGCATGACTCTTGTAGTGGTGATTGAGAAGATATGCAAGCCTATGGTAGAACAATTTTATTGGAATGAACTTGAGTGAAATCTATACCCATCAAACACTTGAATGATGAGTGATATTCCTGTGAGTGCTTACTTATTTAGTTCTCTCCATTTCCAGACATGGATGCTAACTTATTAATTGCAGGGTGTTTCAGATTGTTGTTCATGATGTGTTATGAGTTTTGAGAATTTTATTTTAATTTACTTCGTAAATAATATTTTGGCTTGGGGACAAGCAAACGTTTTAGTGTGGGGGAATTTGATAGACATATTTTACACTCTTATTTTATATACATCTTTATAATAATTTTGCATTAAGTATTTAGTATTATACAATAATTATTCCTTTTTAGAGTTTAATATTTAATTAGTTAAATAAATGTTTTATTAAATGCCTAGTTAGTAATTTGAGTATTATTTTAAGTCCATTATTGTTTAGTCCATTTTATAGCATAAAGACAAGGCAAATCTATCAATATAATAAAGCAGTAACTTTCTACTAAAACCATTCTCCCGCTCAAACCATACGGCGCCGTTTTGATAAGCCAGATTATAGTGCGAATTGATTGGGTTCAATTAACGTTTGGCTTTCCAATGACAATTATACGGCTAATACGTTATGCTACCAAGGATATTCAATAGACTTCTAATTATGTAAGACTTCTAATGGTAACTTATATATAATCTATTTCCAAGATTGCTTGAATCGATTTACATATATACACGTAAAGACCTTCAGATACACACATACAGATTTAAAAATGTATTTAAAATAAATGCTTCCAAATAATCAGCATGATTATTATGATTTATTTCTTGGAAACTCAAAGGTTTCCATCACTATTCCGGCTGCAAGTAATGGTAGCTTCAAATTTCGAATTCCACTTGTTGAGCCTATATAAACCTCAGCCTCAATCTTTTTTCACCCATCACTATTCCGGCTGCAAGTAATGGTAGCTTCAAATTTCGAATTCCACTTGTTGAGCCTATATAAACCTCAGCCTCAATCTTTTTTCACCCACCATTGTTCCAAATCAACCTTTAGCAGTAAACCAAATTCTAAACCCCTACAAATTTTAAGATGCCAAGTCAGTATATTTTGGTTAAAGATGTTGTCCCTCTAAATAGAGAGAGGGCCATTCGAGTTAGGTGTGTTAGAGTTTATGAAATACCTGAAAGGAGAGGTTCGAATCAGATGAAGAGTAGAGAGGTTGTGGTATGCGATGAAGAGGTAAGCACCATTTCGTAAACAGTGTTACATTTTCCTTTCTTTGATTGCACACTATAAAATCTGTTCACTATTCTATCATGCAGGGAACATTTATTCATGTAAACATGAAAACTCGGATGTAGACAAGTACAAGAATGTGTTCAAGGAAGGGAAGCTATATTCTCTAAAAAATTTTCTGGTGTTCAGTCAGTACTATATGTATAGGACTTGTGATCATCAGTATATGGTAAGGTTGAACTACAATACTTAGGTCAAGGCAATCAAATCCAGAGGGTTTCTTACCAACATGTTTCAGCTTAAACCCTATCAATGTCTGAAAGATTCAACTTTAGTGAATGACAAAGTCATGTTTGGTAAGTCATTTATGTATGCAATGTTAAATTTGCAGATTTTATTTTTTAAGCCATATAATTTTCTATTGTTGGATTACAGATGTAATAGGCAGAGTCATAGAGATTCATGCTCCATTAGACAAAATAATAGGGGGGAAACCAGCAAAACTAATAGATTTCAAGATAGCAGACAATGAGTAAGTTTCATACACTCTATGTGTTAAGTTCATTCAAATTTTTTTTTCCATTTTACTTACACATTTCAATACAGGGGAAATCAGTTGAAATGCACTGTTTGGGATAACCATGTAGCTTCCATGCTACCATTCTACAATTCATATCTGAAAGAACCAGTTGTTGTGGTTATTCAGCTATGTAGGGAAAAAATTGTAAATGGTAAGATGTTTACTTATTCCTAAGATATATTTCATTTTATTTGACTGCTGCCCCTAAATCATCCTTTTATACATTACTGTTTTATTTTTATTTTTTTTTATGTTGTCCTATTAGGTGAAGTCAGGATCACAAGTTCCTATGATGCTACCAAGCTGTACTTGAATTCCTCTTATCAGGAAGTTGAAGATTTCAAATCCAAGTAAGTTTCTATTCTTTTTGTGTAACATTGAAAAACAGTGCTGTATTCATTTTTTTTTTGGTCTACAGTGTTGTATTAATTTTTTTTTGGGTCAACAGTGCTGTATTCATTTTTTTTTTATTTTGGGTTTGTGTAGGATAACAACTGTTCATAGTCCTTTAAGAAGTATTAGCACAAGTGCAGTTATGTCCCAGTCCACTGGGATTTCAGAATTCAGGCGTGGTGCTCTGACTGTCACCTCAGTTGGTGATTTATTGAAAAACAAACAGGTAATAATTGTATTCATTTTACATTGTGTCTGGTAGGTCTATACTTAATATTACAGTTTTTGTTATATGTTTTCTTATGCTATTTTTCTTTCTACTATTCTATCTTTTTCTATTTGTTACCAGTGCTACTAATTAATTACCAGTGCTACTAATTAATTACTTGGTTCAATGCAGGATGGAGATTTTTATGTTCCTGCACAAATTGTAGGAATTGAAGGTTCATTTGGCTGGATGTACATATCTTGCATGGCATCAGGTTGCAACAGAAAACTAAAACCAGAAGGTGAGGATCTAATTTGTTCTAATTGTGATAAAAAGTTCAAGGAAGGAATGACAAGATATAGGGTAATTGTTAGGGTTATGGATCAAGGATTATCAGATGCTCCCTTCCTTTTATGGGATAGGGAGTGTTCAGACTTGGTAGGAATCCCTGCAAACCTCCTCTACAAGAAATATAACAAGGTAAGCTAACTATCCTAAACACATCACTTTCTTATAATGCTATAATACACACAAAATCTATTTCTGTTTTAACTTTTCCTTATATGTTTTTGTTTTGTTTATAGGTTTCAGATATTCCCAAAGAGTTGGAAACACTAATTGGAATGTCAATGATATTTAAGATAACATTGAAAATCAACCTGATGAGGGGAGCCAATCCATCTTATACTGTGATGAGACTGTTGAGGGATGAACTATTGGTTTCTACCTACTGTTCAAAGCTGAAAGACAACCAAGAGAAGGATCTTATATCTAAGATGATTGATGAGGATGAAGAGGAGGATGATGAATCTGACCAAGTAGTACTATTTATGTTAGCATTTTTTTTTTATACTTTTGCCTAAGTTTGAACACTAAATCACTGCTTCCATTTATAGGAAGCATCCAATGGTGATAATGAGGTCAACAACCCAATTAGTGTTCAGCAAACTCAGAGCCCTGTGGCTGATTTGGAGGACTGTACTGTGGTTAAGAGATCACTCCTTGATGAGTTCTCTTCTTCTGGCAAGGTTAAGAAGCCTAAAGTTTGATTGTAAAACTAAACAATTTGATATTTCTGCTCTGTTGGTTTGGAATTGAGAAAGTGTAAGACAATTGTCCACCTTTGTGTGGTTTTGGGGTTTTTGGATATTGTATTTTAAGAAACAGTTTTTTAAATAACTGTTTTTGAGTAATTTGGCTTTTTTTTTTTTTTTTTTTTTGTATTTTGGTATTGTATTGTGTATCTAACTGTATGCAGGTTGAATATCAAGAACCAGCAATGAAGGCTATCAGTTTTCAAGGCATCAGCTAAAACCACAATCATATATTGTATTGTGTATCTAACTGTATTTTGGTATTGTATTTTTACCAAGTCTTTTGTAGTTGTAATTTGTTTATTGTATTCTTAACATTTTTGGTTCTTGATCATTGGTACTTAAATATAATACTGCTTATTACATTTAGTCATCTAATGTACCTAAAACAACTGCTTAACATACCAAAAAAGTTTAGGAAAGGTAAAATATCCCATCAAACATCCAAGCACACCAATTCTTATCTAACATAAACTACAATTGACTAAATATTATTAAGTTTCAGATGAAATTAGCTACCGTTTATTTTTTTTTTAAAAAAAATAAAAGCTAAAGGAAAAACAAGCATTTATGCAAGTTTTGCTGTTTTGAGTTTAACATTTTAAAAAATATACAGATATACAGATTTTTGTACTCATTTCAAATATTTTTTTTTACTGAATTACACAGATTCTATACTGACTGTCCTAAAGCAATGCAATTTGAACTTAAATCCCTAAGGCAAGACAATCCACAGACAATCATCATTTGCAAATAAAACAACTAACTGCTTAGTTATACCACAAATACAATGTCAAAGTAGTCATCTAATCTAATCAATTTAAAGTCAATTTAAATCATAATCCATTTTAGCCAAATACAATCTGTCCTAATATAAAGTACATGATTTCTTACTTTACTAACAAAGGACTGGACTCATATAAATGGATTGAAACAGTCATGCAAGATACGTGCATTTGATTGTAAATCCCTAAAGCATAATAAAAACCAAAGAACAATTACAAATCTAAGAAACAGAAAGTGCTAAACATTTTGGCATAAGGTTTGTAAGATCATCAGTTGCCTATCAAAATAACTGATTAGTAATACCACTTTGACAATTTCAATTTAATGAACTCATATAAAGAATTTAAAGTAATTTTAAAATGAAATTTGTTATACAATTTTAACGGATTAGAAAGGAAGTTTAAAATGAAATATGGAATTCATTCCCTAAACCAAAACAATTCACATTGAGTTATTTATCTAAGAAACAGATATTTAACATCATTTTGCATCAGATTGTGAATATCATCATTTGCCTATAAAACTAAATGATTAGTAATACCACAGATACAATGTCAAATAATCAACTAATTTAATGAATTTAAAGTCAATTTAAATTGAAATTTGGAATTAATTACCTAAAGCAGAACAAATCCCATACATTTTCTGATCTAAGAATTACAAAATCTACATCATTTTGCCATCACATTTATAACATCATCATTTGGCAATACAATTAACTGCTTTGTAATAAGAAAATGCAAGGCCAAACAACTTAACTATTGTGATTCCTATCAAATTGGCATCAGAAATAAAATATCATCAGTTGCCTATCCAATTAACTACTTAGTAAAACCACCAATTTAATGTTAAACTACTAAATCCATTTAAGCAAAAATGACTTAATAAAGTCTATGGTATGATAAACTAAATAGGTAATATGTCAGCAATCTCAAAATAAAATCATTTAAACATTAATATGAAATCAACCTGTTCCCAAGAAAAACTCAACAGTCATATAAATTATTACTGCTAATTAATTTTGCACACAAAACACCCTTTTTTAGACAAATAAGACAAGTTATAAACAACACCTAATATAAAACCTAAATCTAAACACACTCAGACAGTTCAAATATTGACAGTTTCACTTTTACCACACAAAAAAATTTCACTCAGTAATCATGCGGAAAATTCTCAGTTCTACGATTATAGGTAGCAAAAGGAAGCAGCCAATTAACAGTCCAGGTAACCTACGCACATTAAGATTTTAGAATTTCAGCATTACCTTTCGCAAATGTTGTTGTATGTACACTGTTGAGACAAGTTTTACATCAAAACGCCATTGTTAAACTGTAAACTTAGTGTTATTGTTCACAAAATACCTGAAATCAAGACAACGATTAAAATTTCTGAAAAACCCTAAATGCTTTGGTATGTATAACAAATCTATACACTAAGTAATGCTTCAAATTGTTGATGTACACAGATAAAAGTATAAAAACACAAAAGAAATCGAAAATTTACCTTGATATTAGGTTTCTCGACAACCGGTAGAATCCACAGATATTACATTGACTAATCTATAACCTCTTACTCTAAAACACCAGAAATGAAGCTTTAACAGTATGTATTCCATAGTCTTCTAGCATCTGTTTCATCCAGAGTAGTTGTGTGCAACAGCTTCCAGCTGCAATGTATTCGGCCTCAGCTGCTGACAATGATATAGAACTTTGTTTTTTGCTTATCCAAGATACCAGATTTGTTCCTAGGAAAAAACATCCTCCTTTGGTGCTTTTTCTGTCATCTATGTTTCCTTCCTAGTCAGCATCGCAATAGGCTGACAAGTGATGATTGGTATCGAAGGAGTACCATATTCCTAGGATTGGCTTGATATCTTAGATGTTGTTCAGTAGGATAGGCTTGATATCTTGCGCATATTCCTACTCCAAAGCTTAGATCTAGCCTACTAGCAGTTAAATATAGTAAACCTCCTATCATGCTTCGATATAGGGTTTGCTCAACTTGTTTTCCTTCTATATCTTTTGAGATTCTTTCTGTTGTTGGAACTGGTGTTCTGACAACTTTGCTTTCTTCTAGTCCGAATCTCTTAACTAGGTTCTTTGCATATTTGCTTTGTGATACGAAGATCCCACTGTCTTGTTGTTTGATTTGTAGACCTAGAAAGTAGTTTAGTTCACCAACCATGCTCATCTCAAATTCTCCTTCCATGTTAGTGATGAACTGGTTTTTGTGGTGTTCGAGTGTTGACCCAAAGACTATGTCATCGACATAGATTTGAGCAATGACGATGTCTTGTCCATAGTGTTTAACAAATAAGGTTTTGTCCACACTTCCTCTTTCGTAGCCCTTTTTGAGTAGAAATTCGATGAGTTAATCATACCAGGCTCGTGGTGCTTGTTTTAGCCCATATAGAGCTTTGTTGAGTTTAAAAACGTTTTGTGGAAAGTGAGGATCCTCAAACCCCTTTGGTTGAGCAACGTAGACTTCTTCTTTTAAATTGCCATTTAATAACGCTATTTTTATGTCCATTTGATAGAGTTTTATCTTGAGTATGCAAGCTACTGCTATGAGGAGCTGAATTGATTCAATTTTTGCTACTAGAGTGTTGGTCCCGAAAGGGTGGCGAGAAGTCTAGAGGGGGGGGGGGGGTGAATAGACTTCTCTAACTTTTTCAATTTTCTTCGAAAACACACAAGGCAAATAACACTTTGGTAATTTCAACTCTAAGTAACAAGTATTAACAAGATAAACAACTTAGAGTGTGCAGCGGAATAAGTAGCGGTAAAGTGTTATGCTTAATTAGTGCGGTGCTCAAAGAGAGATTCTAAACATGCAACACGTTAGAAACACTTGATATGGTTCAAGGATGATGTACGTAAAGTTTGGCTTGCATGCAAACGTGGGAGCTATCAAACCCATACATATAAAGATAAGCGATAAATCGTAATCGGGTTAGTTCGCAGTTAGAATAAGCATGCACAAAATATATGAGCAGTAAGTAAATAGAGAGAGAGATTTATAGTGGTTCAGAGGTGGTGTAATCCTCCTAGTCCACTCTTCTCCTTTCACTTCAAGGAGGAAATTCACTATTCTTCGATCACCCAGATACAATAGTGAATAAGTGCCCAACGACACTTCTCCGAGTGCTTCGCACAAAGCTACACTCCTCCAAGGTTTTTCGCAAGCTCCTCTTGTTACTCCGCCTCCCCGAGTACTTCGCACCAAGCTGTACTCCTACACCACGAGAACTACGCACAAAGCTACGCTCTCACAGGGTTTTCACAAGCTCCTCTTGTTACTCTGCCCTTTACACCGAGTGTTACGCACAAAGCTACACTCCAACTGGGTTTTTCACTCTCTCCAGTTACTCTACCCCTTTTCTACACTCAGTAGAAGATTTACAATGAAATACAAAGATTTCTCTCACTCAGACTTGAATTCTATCGTGTATGCTCAATATATCACTTCTTGGCTGATTTGAATATTGCTTGCTTTTCTCTTGCTTGTAATTTTTCAGCCGTGTTCAAGTCGTATTTGTCTTCAAGTCTGCTTGGGCATTTTATAGCCAAAGAAAGCTATTTGCCCATTGATCAACTTTCGATCTTGATCGTCCATTTTGAATTGTAGTTGATCTGATAATTTTGTCAACTTGATCTGCAATTGTAGGTAGATGTCATTTCTCCTTTTTGTCAGATGATTTGAATAAATTGCCCGTTGCCGTGTCTTGAATTTTGTAGCCTCCAAAATTTGAATAAGTTCGGCGCGGCGTGCTTGATTTTCTTCTCCTTCATAAATGCTCTGACATGTCAAGTTGATCAAATAATTTAACTGCTGATTCTTGCTTGAGTATAAAATTATTTCTCCGCAAATCAGCCTTCTTCGAGCGTCTCCGGTTCTACCGTAAAAACTTGATGTTCAGATGAAAATATATATCAGATATTTTCTCCTTCATGTTCCTTGTAAAATATTATACTGGAACTTCTGTAAAAACTCCATTGTTGTTCATGGTAAGATGCTCTGTTTCGAATTTCAAGCTTAGTCCACCATACTTGGTATGTTTCTCCATATGGTGCATGGCTTCTATGAGACTTGTGCATTTCCTTAGCTAGTCTCCATTCTAGCTAGTCTCTCCTTAGCTAGTCTCCATTCTAGCTAGTCTCTCCTTAGCTAGTCTCCCATACGGTCTTCGTATACATTGAGCTAGTCTCTCATACGGTTATACGGTCCAAGCTAGTCTCTCATACGGTTATACGGTCCAAGCTAGTCTCACATACGATCCAAGCTAGTCTCCAATACAGTGAAGCTAGTCTCTCATACGGTCCAAGCTAGTCTCCAAAGCAAGCTTAAAAATTGCTTCACTTGAGATTCAAACTAAGGATCACTTAGCTTAGCTCAAATGCGTTTCTTCCAACTCCTCTAGCATGGTTCT